TTCCCTACAAGTTTTTCTAGGTTGCTTGTCAATAAAGCAGCTGAATAACTTACAGACATAAATGTAGTAATCTTCATCACACCCTGTGAAGGAGGGAGGTGGTATTATCTCCAGTTTACAGATGGAAAACTGAGATATAGAAAGATTAAAGTAAAAAAAAAAAATCTGTTAATTTTCAGTGCTTCATTTGAACTGCCTAGGATCCCATTTTCCCCTGAGTACCAAACCTTTCACAATGTTTTTCTTTTCAAAGTACTGTTCCCACTCACTTGTGTTGCATCTGTGAATACTCAGTGACTTAAGTCATACACCCTAAAAATGAGGAACCCAATTAGTGACCAATTATATGCTTTTAAGTGACTAGCAGGAGCTCTGGAGCAAAGTTCTCCAAGGCAGCAGTCAACTAACTGCCTTAACCACCTTCTTATAGTTTCACGCCTTGTTCTGTCCAACTTCTGCAACAAGAGTGCAAGGGGTCCTGCAGACAACACCCTCCTTCACCATACTGTCCTCATACAGCCCTAGAGCAGGCCTATGCTGCTGACTGAATGACACAGGTGGTCCTGTGAAAAAAGTATGTAATCAGGAATCTACAGGTTGTATCACTAATATACAAAGGGGAAAATGAAGGTTGCACAGAGCACCTTAATTGTATCATAGCTTAACTTCAGAGTCAGAGTGCTTGATTTTGCAACTTTAATAATGTTTTTTTAATATAGTTTCTATCTTTTTTTCTCTTTCTCTTTCTCTCTGTATGTGTACACACACCTGCACACACACACATGCATATACATATATATGCATACATACATACATATATACATACATGCACGCACACACACATGCACATGCGTGCGCGCGCGCGCACACACACACACACACACACATATATATATAGAGAGAGAGAGAGAAAGAGCAATTCCTCCTCCTCCCTCCTGATGTGACTTGCCAAACAAAGATCTATGTCTGCCTTAAGGAGTTTCACAGAGGGAACTGAATAAAAATAACATCAGTTCAAAAAATGTTTGTTTAAAAAAAGAAGAAAAGCCCATACTGAGAGAGAACATCTGGCTTTCAGAGGTGCCCTACTGGGATAAAATGTTCTTACAAAATATGATACAGTAAAGCAGCAGTAATGCAACATCTTAGGGAAGGAAAACAGGGAGCCGGCATAACAGTTTGATGTAAAAAGCTAAGCAATCGCCAATCAGAAATGTCACTAGCTGAAGAAATGTGATGCACATAGCCAAATGCTTTGGCCTATAGGGACTTATTTTTGTCTCACCTCCAAATGTGTTCTAACAATGTCTCCTATGTATAGGTGGCCTTTCATCCTAAAGGATCCCAAAGCATATTGCAAACTGCTTTATGAAGAGTATTTTGCCAGGCACCAAAGTGACGTCTCTTCTCCAGTAGAATATGGCAGCTAGCTAGGAACATGGAGCAACACTACACGGGAGAAGTAGCACAGAAGGGCACATTACCCCAATTAAAATAGCAGAGTCTGAGAGTAACTATGCAAACTGAAGCATGACTGGGACTCTTCTGAGAAGTGCTGTAGTTTGTTTGATAATCATGGACAGTTCTCATCTTATCTGAATGATGAAAGCACAGCACTCACAGAAGCATTAGATTAGTATTGGCTTAGCAGCAAGAGTGTGTTGGGCAACCCATGACATCATTTCCAGCAACAACTGTGGAGACCTCATCTGTATGCACTGCTCAGATGTAATCTTAGGCACTAAGGCTAGCAGAGGGCAAGTTATGCTTCTCAAGTCATGTCTATACCTCTTCCAAACTAGCTAGGGAGCACTGCAGTGAAGCAGAGATGCACTGCAGAGCACTGCAGTGAAGAGAGTATGGCTACTTCTCAGGCTACATCCCAGAAAAGGAAAGAAAGAAGCAGTTAGCTGTGATATTCTGAAATCAGGCAGAAGGTATGGCAGAGTGGCACCTTAGAGACTAGCACGTTCAGAGAAGCATCAGCTTTCATAGGTGACAGCCTCATCAGATGCTATGAATGGACTTGCAGAGAGCAGTACTTCCTAGACTGGACCAGAGGTGGTATTGACATGTCAGCATTTACTGGTTCCAAATACAATCATTATTCTTCCACTACCCTGAGTTTGCTAATGTGTCAGGCCTAAATAAAGGGCAGAAATGGGCTTGAGAGTCAGGGCTCACTCCAGATAAATTAGAAAATAGTCATTACCTTTGGCAGCCCTCTGCTGAGTTAGAAATTATTTTGTCACTCTGGTTAACAAACCTTGCAATAAGATAGCATCACTGGCACTGACAGAGGTACAGGCATTGACCTAATTGACATAACTGAAAATATATTTGCTTTGACTCTTATCTTGTTAGGTTGATGGCAAGAAATTACTTCATGGTTATGTTCAGCAGCAACAGAATGTAGACTTACAGCTATTCAGCTTTTCCACTCGTTCCTGTCTGGCAGTGTACCCCATTTTAAGATGTCTCATGCCACACCTAGGGCCAAGTTTTGACCAACTTTGGTTGATAAGGGAAAACCAGCTTTGCTGATGCAATTCTCAAGAGATTGCTGGGCATGGAAATGAGTCTCATAATTCCTTAGTCATTCTTCCAGTGAAGAACTACTATGCAGGAAACGTATATCGAACCCCAATATGTTTTTGGAGCTTGTTACATCAAACAGCGCTTTATGCCTGTGTTGAAACAACTATAATGGTTATAATTATTATAATTAACAAAAAATATGACCAGATAAAGAAACCTTTTGTGATTTTTTATCTATCTTCAGTGTTTTTAGAGCAGCCAGTAATGGCAAGCAAGAACTGAAGTGGAAGAAAATGGAACAGTGCTGAGTAGTATGATGTCATTTTAATGTCATGAATCACACACCCTGTTAGGACGAGAAATGGGTACTAGATAACTGGAATCCATATCTTAGGAGAAATGATCAAATACTTTCCCTTAAAAATTTTAAGTCATTATTTTCCATGAAAAATCCTTAATGTTTCCTGAGTTGCTGTAGTGGCCACAATTTACTACACGTCCTTTTGCAAGACCAGATGGGGGGCATTAAACAACTTTGCTCACTAATCTCAGGAGACTATTTCGATCCCGTTTCAAGATTTAGAACAGCTAGCTCCAGATTTCTGTTGAACTCGTTTTCCATGAGCACTGTATTTTCTAAGAATGTTATTATATGACGTTAGTTTCTTATATCTCGTGGTATACACACCACTGACTGGACAAGGATATTATGCGGCACACATGAAAGTGCTCTCCTTGTTCTAAGTTATTAACACATGAAACCTCAGTTTCAAGGTACAGGACTAGCAGCCTTATTCAACACACAATGTTCAGTTACATGTCTGCTACAGAGAACGGATTTAACATTCCTGTGGTATCCTGCCCCACTGTACACTAGCTCTCATGTAAAACCTACAATGGACTCCTCAGGAGGCTGTCTACATTTTGGTTGTTCCAAGTTCCTAGTTGCACACATGGGCTGGTTCCTCCCTGGAAAGTTACTCTTACTTCACTGTGTTCCAAATTAAGTTAAGAATTAAGTGAGCAGTCAAAGTGCCAGCATCTTGGTTTGGCACTGTTTCTAGTTCAAGAGGCTCTTTTTGAAATAATCCAAAGCTTTTTTGCATCTCTCTGGACGAGTGGTGTCAGATTTCCAGTACTCTCTGCCTACAGCAGGGTTGAAAATGCCTCTCCAATGGTGCCTTGGGGCCCCTGCCTTCCTACTGAAATGAAGATCTGGATTTGTCACATGTAAATTATAAACCAGCCCAATCAAAGCAAGTTAATTGTACTTTTATGGACCACCTCAATGACATTTTGGTTAACTAACTGGTCAGTTTTATTGTATCCTAATGATTCTTAACTTAGTTCTAACTGATATTATTTCTGAATGTCACTGTGAACCAACAGATCACCAAACTGCAGGGCTCCTAGATTCTTAATTTGGCTCTGCTGCTAAGTGACCACTTTTCTTCACTCTTTGCTCTCTGTAACAGAGGGCAGTGATTGTACCTATCTCCCATAGGTGTGATGATACTTTAAGTAGTTAATGGTAAAACACTGAGTTTTTATGTGGAGCATTACAGATATTCAGAGCTATGCACAAGAAGCCATTTACAGCAACCAATAAGAATTGCTATTGACCATGCCATACTCACTAGTGATGTAGCATAGCTTTGAATGATATCTGCTGACATCTTATCTATAAATTACTTACATTTGCAGCCACAGTTTGGTTATAGAACACACCTGTACCAAGAGGAGAGTTGAATATCATGCCAAACTGGCTCAAGCATATGCTTGCCATTGCCTTCTATGGGATAGAATCAGAATTGCTAACTGATATATTGTAGGCCACACTGGTGAGATTCTCTTTTAGCTCAAGTGATAAAGGCTGGTGTTTCTGGACCGAGCAGATCTAACTTCCACTATTACATTCCAGCTGGCCATCACAATATCCATGGATTGCTGCTCTATCAGTATATTAAAACAAAGAGGGGAATCACTCTGCTTAACCATATGATGTTGTATTACACAAATATTTTTGACTGAAGTTAACACAGTTCATATTAACCAGGCTCTTGGATTTGTGAGCTGTCAAAGGGACACAGCATGATCTCCCCTCTGTTTTGTTGCCATGGAAACATATTTGAGTTTACTCAACATACTTTGAAAGTACTTGAACACTTGCAACACCCTGGACTGTGTTTGTATATTACTCATCCCAGGGCTGCCAATTTTAGCTGTGTATTTCTTGGCACTCGTGAAAGTTGCGAGTCTAATATCCCTCATTCCAAACCCATGTATGGCCTACAATATCAATTCAGCTGGCCAGCGTAAGCAGGGTTTTTTTTTCCCTTGCTGACCTCTGTGCTTGAGTGTTATTATCCAGACCATTAACTTGGGATGGAGAGGAAAAAATATACACCTGCTTCATACAGGGTAGATTTTTCTTCTCACTAGAGAGGAGCTGGTCAAAGCTCCTTGGAACATCAGCTTTGCGGGCACGGTTGACATTTCAGCTTCATTCAGATTTGGGTTTTTGTTTTGAAAAGAAACAGTTTTGAAAGGTGATTGTGAAAATTGCACCTGGCTGAAACCGACAGGCTTCT